CGGAAGAACCTGCTCAAGACATTGAGATGGACGATGTTGAACCGGAACGGAACGCCGGGCTAGTGGTGTAGGGATTTCCAGATTCGACCATACGCCGACCTACTTTAGGTCAAGAATCGGCTCGGTCTGATAAACCAGAGCTTAGGAGCCAAGGATCACGGTAAGTACTCGGCGATCTGTCCGGATATGCTATCCGGATAGCCGCTGAGCTCAACGGCCCGCTGAAGAGTCGGTAGAGATCCGAAACGACTACATTTCACTAGATATTTGTATGAGAAGCATAGGATTAAATAGGAGGAGCCGAAAAGGCTCCCAGAAGATAACAGAGCAGAATTTTCCTAGTCCAAGACACGTGTACACTTTTCCGGTAAGTCCCTGCATAGGGCTGGATTATGCCTGCCGTCAATACTCGAGAGGCATAGCTTGTAGGGTATTGACTGGTAGCGCCAAGAGATTAGGTCGGTCCGGGTAGGACAAAGTCTCGCTACGCGCGAAAGAAAGTCCCGCATACTCAGCGGGCCGGTACGTCGGATAGCCCGGGTGCCGTAACACTTCTAGCTGAGCAGCCTCTGCGCTCGGTGACCTGTAAAAGCGCTCGCGCGCCGTCGTCCATCCTTTGGTGGAGGGCACAGGGTTGTGAACGAGCTCAGCCGAACCAAACTCGGCGGAGCCTCGGAAGTGATCTGACTTGGTTAGTCGGAACCGAGTGGAAGCGAGCCACTCGTCTGTCCCGGAAGGGCCGGACCGCGAGGGGACCACCCTCTGCGCAGGCCATACAACCGCCGACCTAACTCGGCGATTCGTTGTGGTTTGTGTAAGGAATCCACATCTGACGATATTTGTGTGTTCTACTACACCACACTTTTGTCAGTTTCTTCACGGCTTCCCGTTTATTCCGAGATAAGTTTTTCTTTCGGAGTCTCTTTACACAGTCTGACACCTGCTGCCGCGATGGTAACCCCAGTGGAGGTGGTGCAACATCAGTTGTACGACGAAGGTTACTCCAAATATCGCGTGGTCGCACTCCGCATGAATCCAGTCTAGTAATCTATTCTTTCACCTCATCTGTTATCGGTATACGATGTTGTCCAGCGCATTGTTCCTCCCCCCTAAAGTGTTTTTTGTCGTTGCAGTAGACACGCCACGCGGGTCTAGATGTACATTCCCAGTACTTCCACTGCACACCACACTGCATACCTCCATTCATATCTTCCTTGCTTGCACATGTCGGGCTGATACACTCCAGTCGTCTTTCAATCATAGCGTGGTCGGCGTTGCATATCTTACAGTCCATCTCACGCTTTACGTATGCACCGGAGCAGCAGAAATCTGAAGCTCGCAGCTTGACAAAGTCTGCGCTCGTTGCATGTTCCGCCAATAGTGCCCAGGAATGACGTGGCATCCTTCGGTTTCGCGCTCGGTACTAGTAGGATAAGCACAGGTGCCAATGAGGTGAATGCACGGCGTGCCGGGGGTCAACTGGAGTAAAAACAGTTTATGGCGAGCAACTGTAGAACTGGTTGTAACACGACGTCGCCCGCTCCAACCAATCAAGCAAAGATGCACACTGCTGATGCGGTCTACTCGACCGGTCGAGTTATTGTGCATGTGGTCGAGTTAATTTGCAAGCAGCTGATGCTGGTTTACTCGACCGGTCGAGTTATTGTGCATGTGGTCGAGTTAACCTGCAAGCAGCTGATGCTGGTTTACTCAACCGGTCGAGTTCTGTATTGTGACTTGGAATTGCCATTTGATAAAAGTACGGTACATCGAAGCTTTGATGCGTACACATCTTTTTGTTAGTGCTGTTTTGCCGGAGCCCACAAATCTTTTGCTGGCGCCCCAAAGTGAAGAGATTTGTTTGCTGAAGCCGTTTTGATTTTGCTGGCACCCCATCTTCTTTTGTTTCAGATTATAATAGCGCCGTCTCTGGGCAATTCGTCTCTCATTGTCTAGTCGTCCTCTTGCAAGAAGCAAGGCGGGTTCGTGGCGACATATGTTCTCAGCAGCATATGTTCCACCCTTGGCAATGGCTGCTTATCGACTGGCGGGCCGCCAGTGGCGGCACCAATTGCACGGCTTGCTTGTCTGTTTGTGCACAACAGTGGATTCCGCTCTATGCCCGGATTCTTCATCCATGCCGTCCTGCGGCTCTTATCACAGCCGATCCTTTTCCGCTACTGTACCTCATTCGACAATTTGCCTTGCTCTCAGCAAGGAGATATCGGTGCACAAACTTTCTCTCGCTTCATACTAACATGAAGCTTTACGGCATGTTCCTCATGGCTGGGGCCATGGTCAGCGCCGTCTCAGCCGGCGCCGGCAAGATCTGCGATATGGATCCTGTCGTGACTCCTGCTCCAGCGACGCCGGTGACCGACGCCCCGGTCCCGCAGACTGACGAGCCGGCCACACCGGCTACGGTAGCTCCGGTCACTGAAGCTCCCGTGACGCAGGTCGACACTCCTCAACAGCAGGGCAGCGAGGTGGCCGGTGAAGCCAGCGCTAATGGCTCGGGCGATGCCACTCAGCAGACTACGCAGCAATCGACCATCTCTGGCGGTGAGCAGTCGACGGCCGGCACGGTCTCGAGCTCCTACTCGTACACGGGCGTGAACTGCGGACATATGAGCAGGTGACGGACATCGCGTCGTGCATCAAGACGCCGGTGACCACGTCCAACCCTGTGTCGCCTCTTGACTCGGGAGTCACTCTTGCTCTTCGTGGTCCCATGACGATCTCCGGCATCGGCGTGTTCATCAACACCAACGGCACATGGGCCAAGGTCTCGTCCTACGAGAACGGCGGTGCCGCCACCAACATGGTGTTCCTTAATAACGAGAACATTGATTACACCGGTGGAGGCTCACCCGAAGGATTCTGCGAGGCCGACGGCACGGGTGTCGCCAAGCAGTCCACCCCTTTCAGCGGCACGCTAGCTGCGGCCTCAAACCCGGGTGGTGGCTCCATCGTCGCTTCTGAGGCCACCGGTGCTGAGGTGCACATCATGACGGAGAACAAGTGTGGTGTTGACGTCGAGTGCGAGGGCGCGTATGACAAGGATGGCACGGCTTATCAGGGATGGACTGGCGGCAAGAAGATCTTCGTCTTCAAGGTGTCTATGGCGGACGGTGGCGCCCCTAACGTGCCTGCCGCCTGGCTCCTGCCAGACCAGGTGACTCACTCCGGTCAGTACGGCTGCAACTGCCGTGGCAAGGGTCCTGCTGGTGGCTGCGGTGAGCTTGATATTGTTGAAGTGCTCGAGAAGGACACGAGCTACGTGGCAACGCACTTCTACTTCTACAAAGGCAAGTACAACCCGGGCAACGACCAATTCGCCAAGCGCCCCACGGACGGCCCGGCCACCTACGTGACAATCATTGACGAGGACTACGGTGTTAAGGTCATCCAGATCGGCGCCGACGACTTTGACTTCAGTTGTGGCAGCATCACCAACGACGTTGTCTCGCAGTGGGAGGCGGCTGAGTAAACCTGTTCAAAGTGTTATTTTTTTTTGTCTATAGCTTGCAAGCATTTCCCGGCCGATGGATAACAGGGATTTTTGATCACCTCGAAGTGTCACTATGCCATTTTTTCGGTTTTTGTTGCTTGATGGCAACTACCTGTATTCCATTTTTTGTTTCTTTTCACTTTACATGACTGAAGTGAAATCAATGACGACTTTTGAGAGCTGAAGTTTGTGTTGTGTATATTGCACGCCAGCCATGTCCAAGAGCCGACGTGATGCCACGAACTTCCAGCTACACCGAATAAACTAAACAAGTTAGAGCCCTTACAGACACCAGACGAAGCTGTGTCCCCAACGTACTCGCTTTTGTACTTGTCGGAATAGTAAACGACGCGTGCGATGCCACTCTGAGCACAGCAACATGAAGGCAATTAATGGCAATTTGTTGCAATATTGCAATATCCTTCAGAAATCAATACCTGAATGATGAGCTTGGCACATTCGTTGCAAGGGAAGAGCGCCACGTAAATCTGCGTCAAACAGCAACTGTCAAATTAAGCCAAAGAAAGCTGTCCAACAAATTTTCGTACTGAGCATCCTTTGACGTCGGTGGAGTTCTTGTTCAGTATGGCATTCATCTCTGCGTGACAAACATACTAAGCACAAAGCAAAATTAGCATTGCAAAGTCACGTGTTGGAGGCTGCGTTTCCTTACTGGGTACTTCGTATCGAGTGGCGAGTTAGTTGCAGTCTCACGTGCCCACGGCAGCTCGTCATCACCGCAGCCATTTGGGAATCCGTTGTAGCCGATACCCACGATCTTCCGTTCTGGATTCACAATGCTGGCATAATGAATAGCAACACGTGAGAAACCCGAAAAGATTAACCCCCGTTCGTCATGCAGTGCGTACCATGCTCCGACTTGAGTCGACGGATCTATAACCACGCACCACATCAATTAGCAAGATCTATTCTGCTGAAAAAGATATCCACGATTCCACCAACCTTTCGAGCGCATGGCGCTCAAAAAGGCAACACTCATGAAGTAG